TGGGCACCATATTGGATTTTTATTGCATTGAATAGAAATTTCAATCCTCTTTTCAAAAATGTATCACTATAACATATCATATTCTTCTGAACGAATACATCAGAAATAAACGAATCTGAAAATTTCCATAAGAAAAAACAATGCTATTGTCATTATCTCGAAAACGTAGGAAGATATTTCATTGTTCTATTTTTATTCAAAAGTTCTTGAAAAAGTGCTCACGAAATGTCTGAGCCAGAATGCCAAATAACAGAGATACAGGGGATTCTCAAAAACGCACCACTTTGGTTTTTCGCAATTATTTCAAAAACAGAAAATGATCGAAAAAATCTTATGGCAATTCTGAAATAGTAATAGAATTCTGAGAAACATTGCTCATTTGAACGACTATGTAGCTCGTATAATAACCGAGATAGCAATACATACAGCACCAATCTGGGACACAGTGTATAGCAAAACTGGTCATTCTAATGGCTGACTTTCTGGAATATAAATAGCGTTTCTGTTCACCCTAAAATGCCCTATGCTTTCAATTTTATAACCGTACCCCACAGCCGTCTTCAAGACGGCTGTGGTACCACCCGTATACTGACCCTGACCACCGCGCCCAAGTGGTTCTAAAAATAGATAAGATGAGATAAGTAAAATCATGTAAAATGAAAATAATGAAATGTTAGTGGCAGTGGCCAGCAGGCCAAATCACCACCTGTACTTATACATGCTTGCGGATTCGCGGTGGAAGGGGTTCAGATATCTCCGCCTTCCGCGCCGTCACCCTCTTGCACCTCATTCCTCAGGTGATCGCACTAATTACTTTTTTACCATAATTATAGTGAGTTACCCAGTAACAGGTAGAGGACTGTGATCATTTTTCCGTAATATGAAATTCTCAACATGTTTCATTGTATTCTTCTTCATTCGGAGCGCCATCTAATAATGATAATTAGAATCAAAATTTTGCACCGCCATCTATAAGACAGAAGCTGAACTAATGCACCCCTGAATAGGCCTGAATTCAGACACGATTTATGTAGGTTGCCACCAATTATCGACGCCATATTGGGTTTTTTCCCGTTTTCTTTGGAACGGTGTGATTTTGGAAGCCAGAATTTGGGCAGGGTATGGCATTTTAGTGTATCTAGGAGTTAAATCAATTTTCATTCAAATCTGTGACACAAAATTTCCCAATGTTTACATTTTTCAGTCATCGCCTGCTTTCTTCAACAAACGAGTTTGATTTCGAAAATTACTTCAACTCCTAGCTTGAGCTTTCGTCCTTACGATCATCCAAACCGTTTTTCATTTGGACTTTTCGTTTGGCAGAAAATGGGGCTGGAAAATAGGTCTGCATAGCGATTGTCGTGAATCGTCGGTCTCAAGCTTGAACCCCTTGATTGGGTATGAAATTTTCAAAAGGGAATATTCTCAGATATATTATGAACATTGAAAAAAATCAAATCAAAAGTAGTTGTTCTCTGTTGAATATTCCGAATGAGATTGTGTATGTGTATTTTTATCTGAAAGAGAGTGCAAATTCTCAATCCCATTAGATTCTATTTCAAATTCTTATTGTGTGTATATCCAATGGAAATGAATCAATATTCGTGGTGGCATATAGCCAGTGAAGTATATGTCTTCTGTTGAATATACAGAAGAGGAATTCATAATTTTATGATAGAGAATGCGAATTCTCAATACATTTCTTCGTGATATGTTTCTATTTTTCCAATGTTCTATATCTGAGAATATTTTCTTTCGAAAATAAAACTTACTACTTGATGATGCTAAATACAGTTAGTTCCACCTTAGAAAGTATAGCTAATTTTACCTTCATTACAGAGTGTCACAGATGTTTCATTATCATTGGGTTTTCTTCGAGATCTAAGTTTTTCCCTAGATAACTATTTTTAGAGTAGTTAGTAAGATATAGTTTTGAGCAAAAAAATTCCTAAAACCGATTTCTGTTTCTAATACTTAGGGCTCTGAAAATCTATTTTTGAAAGTTTTACTCTCATAAATTATCTTCCGAAGGAATAAAAAGATGAGTATCATATTTTATTTTATTTCATTTCATATACATATCTCAAATAGAGTGAAATCAACATTAATTTATCGAGATATTAATGCAAAGTTATAAAGGTATTATAGGTACTTACCTACCTATATGTGCGATTTCAACCCGCAACACCTTCCTAATTTGGAACCCGTTGACCTGTTTTCAAAATCAAAAATCCCATAATATTTTACTCAACGATATAACTCTTTCGAAATTATAGACAAATTTTCAGATTTTCAAGGCCTAATATGCTATTGTTAGGTTAAGGAGTCAACATTTTAAAAACGAATATTCAAATTGAGATGTACCTACTATGCACCAATAGGAATCTGTTGATGCAAAAGACTTTCTAATATTTCAACCAGTGGCGTCCATATGGGATATATATACTGGAGATTTATCTGAAAAAATTGAGATGTACCTACTATGCACCAATAGGAATCTGTTGATGCAAAAGACTTTCTAATATTTCAACCAGTGGCGTCCATGTGGGATATATACTGGAGATTTATCTGAAAAAATTGAGATGTATATACCTACTATGCACCAATAGGAATCTGTTGATGCAAGACTTTCTAATATTTCAACCAGTGGCGTCCATATGGGATATATACTGGAGATTTATCTGAAAAAATATAGTAAGCCATTGCTTTTTAGTAAAATAATAATCATTTATATTGAATCATCCAAGATAAATCATTAAGGGAACATGTTTGGGATTTATAAAAGCCCATCAGGTATAATATTCATCACCTACCTTTTTTTCATTTCCATGTATGTGAAAAGTGCTAATTCAACCTATACCTATTTTATGATTGTTTTTTTTTATAGAACTCAACTGTTAAATTGGCTGATGATGGGCTTTTGTAAGCCCGAAACATGTTCTTTCTATGACTAATTTTCAATTAGGTGGAATGAATTTTGTTTGCATGTATATTATTGACATGCCAATGGTTTCATTAAAGCTGTTTTTCAAAACCTCCATTTCAAGCATTTTATTGGCCACCCTGTATATCAAATATAAAAATTTTTCACCATTGGAGAATCAAACAATATCATCACCTACATTTATTTTTGATTGGCCTGTATAATGTATATCAAACTGTGTTGATTCGTAAATGATAATTAATAAAGGTACTTCATAACTCAAAAATTCAATTTATTGTTCTTTCAGATCCCACAATACATGCAGTGAAGTAAATATATAATTGAAATCCAAAAATCTTAGTTGGAAACTAAGATCCTAAATATTATTTGAAATAAATAACTTAGCAGTAGGAAAATAAACATTATTATTTACAGAATGATTTCACAGTAATAACTATTTTTACAACTGAAAAAATACAAATATACATTTGTGATATTACATGTATAAATCATTCAAACTTCAAGATGCAATACTGGTAGTATAATAGTGGGATATAGTATGATTTCAGTTCAAACTGATCATTTCAAAATTAAATACTTAATGAAGGTTTATTTTGACCACTCTTGGGTGAAAAACAGGATACTGCAGTCCTTCAAAATATTTTGTTAATAGTTGAAGATAGTGAACCACTATATGACCTTGAATCATTCAATAATTTTCAACAACTTGAACGTGATGCAGTAAAAATTTCAATTATCGGAAAAAACTCTAAATTAACCTTGAATCTGTCAGTTGGAATGTTCGATTATCAAGTATGAAAATCATCAAGAATGAAATTTTCTGTACCGGGTGGCCAGATGAGAATGCAGTGCTGTATTCCGGAGAGTTGTGGTAAAAAAATGTTATGACCAGTGGTCAAAAAAAAAATCCTACAAATTATTTTCAGGTTTCCAAGATGGCCAATGTGCAGCCTTACCGCCTTCTGAACTTTTCAAAGTGATTTTCAAGAAAATACACCTAGTAAATGTACCAACATAATACAATTATGCTTTTTAAAGCCTATAGCATATGGGAGCACTGATTTTTGTTTTACAATTTTTGGTGTATATTAAAATGAAGTGATAGATGGTAATTCTATGTTTTTTTAAATAAACAGCTGTAACTTCAAAACGACTGAACGGATTTCAACTTGGAAAGATCATTTATTTATCCATAAATCCTATCTTATCTGTGATATGTCTGATTTTTAGTGAAGCCGCTAGAAAGAGTTTTTAGATATTTCACCAGAAAATTTGAATATTAAATGCAATATGAAATCTTTTCGATATTTTATTCCTAGCCTGAAATATTGAAGAAAGAATATCAAGTTATCAAAAAAAATTGTCGAAGAGTGTTAACAAAAATTACTGGAATAAAACTCGGCTTTGAAGAGCATGTTTATTTTTGGACACTTATTAGGTGTATTTCAATGAAAAATCACTGTTTTATATGGCGGTTACGCCCCCTGGTGACCATCTTGGACACCTGAAAATAATGTCTAGCATTTTCTTTTAGCCACTTAGTTGAAACACTCTTCACCGCAAGTCTAAACAACTAATAGTTTCCGAGATACAGCACTTTGTATTCTGATCTGGCCACTGGATAAAAAACGACAATACTGTTTGGTCATTTGAAATGAAAGATATTCGATAATAAAATTGGAGGATTAGCAAAAACAATGCTGTGAAAAACCACAATGCAATAAATTAAAACTACATCAATAATTTATAAGGAAAAGAATTCCCAAAAATTTTGAGCATTTTTCAGTGGAAATGAAGCTACTGCAGTCCATCAGAATATAATGCAATCTGTTACTTGGAATTCTGCTTACTGAGTGTGAAGAATCTTTGAAAATGTAATTTCGTGTACAATAATCGGAAAACTAACGAAACAGTTTCATCATTTAAAATGGAAGATTCAAGATTTGAATTGAAGGATTAGCTAAAACCATGCAAGATATCATGTTACAATCAATGCTGTGGAAACTACAATGCTGTGAAAAACCACAATGCAAGAATTTAAGACTACATCAATAATTTATATGGAAAATTTCGAAACATGGTACTTTTTCTTCTGTTGCTGGATTTGGCTTCGAATTCTCCTGGGTGTCAATTGTCCAAATTCTTCATGTTCTATGATCATTTGTTCCACTAAATGCTTAGGCGGATAGAAAGCACGTTCACCTCCAATGAATTTTTTGAAAACCCTTCTAACTGCATGTTTCCTTGGTGTGTTCCAAATTTTGTTTGCTAAAATATTATTAGGGGGGGTGATTAGCTCACATTTTTTTAAATCAATTGGCCAACATGGATAGACATTTTTTATCTAGATTTACAGGGTGTCCCAGGTTCAAGAAGCAGGACTTGGCCATTCAATAGAAAATCTGGTAAAAAAAGTTCAAAACAATGTCTTAAGAGGCTTGTTCACAAGATAAAGGGCATTTAAATTGGTAATATGAACTCATGACTTATCATGAAGGTAAAATTCAGTATAATTCAGTATGTTATGAAACTGGTATAGTGCCAAAATTGCAAAAAGATGTTTACTTTATTAAATTTCGGAGATTAAACAAGTGGCCCTTATTAATGGAAAATTGAATGCTCTTTCATATAATTGAACATAATAAATCCAATTTATATCAAGTGGTTTTGTATCTCACAAACAAAGCACACTCAGATCTATGGTTGTATGAATCCTTGTTCTTATGTATGTATGTATGGAAAATTGAATGCTCTTTCATATAATTGAACATAATAAATCCAATTTATATCAAGTGGTTTTGTATCTCACAAACAAAGCACACTCAGATCTATGGTTGTATGAATCCTTGTTCTTACTTAGTCCTGTTGTTTAAACCAGGAACATCCTGCATACCGGGGGTTGACGTTAAATGCAAAGTAACAATCGACCTGAAAAATCAGGCAGACTCAAGGTTATCTCTCCAGACTAAAGCAATTATACTCTAACTTCTCTCTAGAATACAAATATATGATACCAAGTGTTCAAACAAAAAGACAAAACCAAACAAATCTAATTGAAATACTATTTTTTCTTCCTTCATTTCGTTTCTGAATTGGCAGTCCCAGAAATTTGGCCGGTAGCAAAATGTGACATAAAATGTAAATATTCGAACAGGGACAGTTCAACTCTAAATGAAAAATACAATTTTCTGCTTGTGATGCTGAAAACTTATGATCTTGAATTCAGGTGAAATTGAGAGCAGAAGTTTTACAAATGGCTTCTTTTATCATATTTCAACATGAGAGAAATGAACTTGATACATCCAACATTGTTTTATATTCATCAAGGATAGAAAATTGAAATCAAACATGATAATAATAAAATTAATGCACCCACTTGTTTTTAACTGTGAGTTGTTGGCGACCCACAATTTAATCTGTGGGACAGTGCGGTTTTTGAGTTCTTCACAATCATTGATAGTTTCTAAAATTTCTGAAGTTGACGGAAGTGTTCGCTCATTTAAATGGTGTGCGAATATTCGTCTTGCAGTTTGTCTTTCTGGTGTATCCCATGTTCTCTTCACTGCAGCTTGTCCAGGCGAAATAGCTGCAAGAAATAAATGTTTTGAAACATGAAATTATCCAAAAATTGTACCAATAATAATATACTCAAAAGAACGAATCTGAAGATGAAAATTCCCATTGTTCCCTATCATTTGCTGTTGAAAGATTGAATTATTTGATATGACATGGATTTTTGCGAAATTCTTTTTTTCCATTCTGAACATATGAAATATTGCACCATCAAAAAATTATTTTTAAATTTGTCCATATTATATGGAACTATCAATGTACATTGTTATTAGACAAAGACTTTTCATTATGTATATTTGTTCATGTTATTGTTAATTTTTTTATGAATACAATATACAAAGCTAATTCAAAAGAGTTTTACAAGTGAAAACATTTGATCAAAATAATTCTCACCTATCAATCGTTGACGTTTGCGTTTAGGAGTTGTCTGGAGGTCTTTTTCTGACTCTGAACTATTACCATCACTGCTTGCAATATACTCGGAGCCACTCTCTGTGCTACCATGGGCTATATTGGAAATTCCAGACGGTCCTGCAGTAGAAGAGTTGGATGGTGATATGGTTGGACTGTTGGCTGTTGTTGTAGTAGTGGTATATGCTTTGACAGAACAAGATGGGACAGGAGTGCTCAATTCTGGTTGGTTGCCACCTAAGCCAGTGAAAGAATGCACGTTGAAGTGCTTTGGGCAGCTAGTAAAACTTTGCTAACGTTGAGAATATCACGTTCTATGATAGGTTGTCTGTAATAATCTCTGTGAATTTTTTCTGCATGTCCCAAGTACCCCTGCAGCAACTGTATTTCTTCGTTATTCAAGTTGAGAGACATAGAGGTAGTGGCAACATGTTTTCGAAGTGTAGTAGCTCTAAGTGATTTGGGATTAGTTGCTCCACATGCATCTGAATACTTTCTTATTAAAGATGTGGCAATCAAATGTCTGTATATAACATTTTTATCGTTTCTGCATTGGGGCAAACCAAATAAGTAGGGGTTGTTCTCTACACCAGCCTCATTTCGGAATTTTATAAGTAGCTTTATACACTCGTGCATGGAGTTATGTAGAAGTACTGGGACACCTCTTGCCAATTTCCCTCTAATAACAAACCTTACATATATAAAGTTTGTCATTTTCACTCAAGTTCTTGTATGTTTTTGTGTCCTCGCCTATTTTCGTCAAGCTGTCCAAGTCGGAAAGTAGACTACGTTCAAGCTCTCCAGGTCTCCTTCGATTTTTGCGAAATTCTTTTTTTCCTTTCCGAACATATGAAATATTGCACCATCAAAAAATTATTTTTATATTTGTCCATATTATATGGAACTATCAATGTACATTGTTATTAGACAAAGACTTTTCATTATGTATATTTGTTCATGTTATTGTTAATTTTTTTATGAATACAATATACAAAGCTAATTCAAAAGAGTTTTACAAGTGAAAACATTTGATCAAAATAATTCTCACCTATCAATCGTTGACGTTTGCGTTTAGGAGTTGTCTGGAGGTCTTTTTCTAACTTTGAACTATTACCATCACTGCTTGCAATATACTCGGAGCCACTCTCTGTGCTACCATGGGCTATATTGGAAATTCCAGACGGTCCTGCAGTAGAAGAGTTGGATGGTGATATGGTTGGACTGTTGGCTGTTGTTGTAGTAGTGGTATATGCTTTGACAGAACAAGATGGGACAGGAGTGCTCAATTCTGGTTGGTTGCCACCTAAGCCAGTGAAAGAGTGCTTTGGGCAGCTAGTAAAACTTTGCTAACGTTGAGAATATCACGTTCTATGATAGGTTGTCTGTAATAATCTCTGTGAATTTTTTCTGCATGTCCCAAGTACCCCTGCAGCAACTGTATTTCTTCGTTATTCAAGTTAAGAGACATAGAGGTAGTGGCAACATGTTTTCGAAGTGTAGTAGCTCTAAGTGATTTGGGATTAGTTGCTCCACATGCATCTGAATACTTTCTTATTAAAGATGTGGCAATCAAATGTCTGTATATAACATTTTTATCGTTTCTGAATTGGGGCAAACCAAATAAGTAGGGGTTGTTCTCTACACCAGCCTCATTTCGGAATTTTATAAGAAGCTTTATACACTCGTGCATGGAGTTATGTAGAAGTACTGGGACACCTCTTGCCAATTTCCCTCTAATAACAAACCTTACATATTCTTTAACATAAAGTTTGTCATTTTCACTCAAGTTCTTGTATGTTTCTGTGTCCTCGCCTATTTTCGTCAAGCTGTCCAAGTCGGAAAGTAGACTACGTTCAAGCTCTCCAGGTCTCCTTCGATTTTTGCGAAATTCTTTTTTTCCTTTCTGAACATATGAAATATTGCACCATCAAAAAATTATTTTTATATTTGTCCATATTATATGGAACTATCAATGTACATTGTTATTAGACAAAGACTTTTCATTATGTATATTTGTTCATGTTATTGTTAATTTTTTTATGAATACAATATACAAAGCTAATTCAAAAGAGTTTTACAAGTGAAAACATTTGATCAAAATAATTCTCACCTATCAATCGTTGACGTTTGCGTTTAGGAGTTGTCTGGAGGTCTTTTTCTAACTTTGAACTATTACCATCACTGCTTGCAATATACTCGGAGCCACTCTCTGTGCTACCATGGGCTATATTGGAAATTCCAGACGGTCCTGCAGTAGAAGAGTTGGATGGTGATATGGTTGGACTGTTGGCTGTTGTTGTAGTAGTGGTATATGCTTTGACAGAACAAGATGGGACAGGAGTGCTCAATTCTGGTTGGTTGCCACCTAAGCCAGTGAAAGAATGCACGGGTGAAGTGCTTTGGGCAGCTAGTAAAACTTTGCTAACGTTGAGAATATCACGTTCTATGATAGGTTGTCTGTAATAATCTCTGTGAATTTTTTCTGCATGTCCCAAGTACCCCTGCAGCAACTGTATTTCTTCGTTATTCAAGTTGAGAGACATAGAGGTAGTGGCAACATGTTTTCGAAGTGTAGTAGCTCTAAGTGATTTGGGATTAGTTGCTCCACATGCATCTGAATACTTTCTTATTAAAGATGTGGCAATCAAATGTCTGTATATAACATTTTTATCGTTTCTGCATTGGGGCAAACCAAATAAGTAGGGGTTGTTCTCTACACCAGCCTCATTTCGGAATTTTATAAGTAGCTTTATACACTCGTGCATGGAGTTATGTAGAAGTACTGGGACACCTCTTGCCAATTTCCCTCTAATAACAAACCTTACATATATAAAGTTTGTCATTTTCACTCAAGTTCTTGTATGTTTTTGTGTCCTCGCCTATTTTCGTCAAGCTGTCCAAGTCGGAAAGTAGACTACGTTCAAGCTCTCCAGGTCTCCTTCGATTGAAAATCAAAATGCTTATCAATGTGTAACTGCTCAAATGTATCCAGGTATCCAAATCAAATTCATTTTTCATTTTATTATAGTGTTCGTTTTTTTTACAGAGTATATAAGTGTTCAACTTTTTAATGTCTTCAGTGGATGGTAGTATAGGTATCTTCTTCCTTTTCTGTTTCAGTAAACTTTCAGCAGCTGTTTTGTTAACGTGTGCCGGAAGGGACGTTTTTAGTAGATGTAACAAATTTTTTGCCATCATTTTACCATCAGGGTCATCATTTTTAATGCAATCAGAAATATGCAGCTGGATCATGTATTTGAGTGACGTACCTATTTCTGTTGGTAAGGTGGGTTTTCTATAATTCCCTGTATGTGTGTCATACTCACGCATACTGTTTATAATTTCTATTAGGTTATCAAACATCTGCGGCCTCAACATGTCACCAAAATTATTCACAGATGCGCTGATTTCTTTCATCCTCAATAAGACTTTTGCCATTCTGATCAATCGGTTTCTTATCATAGGATAGTGATGTTGTGATCTGTATTTGCATGCCATCTCATTTCCATACAATATGAGAAGACTATCAAATCTGATAGCCTCTTTAACAGGACCATCTCTCAATGCAGGGAATAAGAGTTTCCTTACAACATCATTGGCTCGGTCATGTATGGATTCTGAAATTGCTTTTGACATTTTCAGCACACCTCTGGAATGTTTGGAATCTTTTTTTGTACAACTCTGTAGGACGTGTCTTATTAGGGATTGTTTTTTCAAGATTATTTGGCAATAAGGGCAACTCGAGTAGGCACTCTTGACGGGTGGGATGAATTTGGAGATTCTTGCAGGGACAATTTTTTCACTTTCCTTGTAAGAATTGAAATTCCCGTCTCTTCTCTCTTTTTTTTTTATAGGGTTGTTGTCTGTCAACATAATGAACTCTCTGACCTCAGCTTGATCTCTGTGTTTGGAGATTATATGCCTCTTGATATTGGTCTGAGACTGCATGCAAAATTTGCATATATTGGGCTTATTGCATATTCTGGAAATGAATGAATTAAAATTTTTAGAATTCCATTATACCTCAAAAGAGCTCTACATAATTTTTGATTTGAAATCTCCAATCAATGAATAGGAGTGAGTAAATTATACTATGTCATAAAGGATGGAACATGTGAAGGTATATTTTTTATATTAGTATAATTTCTCACTTGTAAACTTGAGTGTCTTCCTGTTTTTGAAATATAGCCAAGTACTAAACCAAGTTTTCGGGGTGGGTAATTTTGAATTCACAAAGTCAAGATAGTGGACAATCTTTGTGATTGTGGTCCAGGTCCAATGCGATTGAAAATTGTTATGTGGGGGTTATGAATTTGATGTCAAAACGCTGTTATTCAAACCATGTACTAAAACTAATAATATGAATTAGAATCATCCCTGACAATGGTAAAATCATTTTATGTTGAAATATTTGGTTCCAAGAAGATTGTTGCGCGTTTTTTGAAACTAGATATTCAACAATAAATAATTGAATCATTGTAAGAGATGACTAGAGCTAATTTTATTTGTTTCAGTACATGCTTGTATTTAAAAACGCTTCTTATGAATTATTCCATTCGGAATAAAATGTAGGTATTTGAAACGTACATACATAATTACTTTACTCATCCCTTTTCGAAGATGACATAATATTTAGGTTATTCCATTCAAACTCATTATCAGACTCTTTTACCATATACAAAACCCTTAGATCATGCATTACAAATAATATATTCAATAACTTCTTACCTACGCTTATATGCAGTTTTGGTCACAACTGTGTCTTCTCCTACAACTGTTTTTTCCTCTGTGATTGTATATTCTTCTCTATTTGCAATTTCTCCTAAAACTGCAACTGTGTCTTCCTCCATTATTGTGCCGTCCTCCATAACTGTACCTACTACAATTATTGTATCTTTTCCATTAATTGGGCATTCTACATTTGTCACTTCTTTCGAAATTGAGTCTTCTCCAATAGTTTCGTCTCCTCCTATAATTGTTCCCAAGTGACCATAAGTAGAAAACTGTGGGTCTTTCGAAATTGACTCTTCTCCGATAATTTCGTATACTTCTATAATTGTTTCCAAGTGACTATGAGATGTAGAAAACTGTGGGTCTTCTACATTTGTAACATATTTTATAATTGAGTCACCTTCGATAATTGCGTCTCCTATAATTATTGTTCCCAAGGGACCATTGGATGTGGAAGACTGGCTAGTAGCAGTGGAAGATTGACTGGTAGAAGTGGACGAAGTACTGCTGGATTTGAATGGCACACTATTGACAACTGCAGACGAACTACTATTTGTGAATGCCTGGCCCCTGGATGTGGAATCCATTTGATGATGAATGATAGGACTGATTCCCTCCACATATGGTATCCCATTCTCAATATTCTTCAAAATTTTCGTGAAGTTGATTTCGTGTGTTTTTGTAGAAGAAGCGTCCCTCAATGACCTACTCCTCAATGAAACTATTGACCGTTCTGTGGTTCCTGAGCTTACAACATTCAATGTGCTTTCCAAAACCACCGTCAGTCTTCTTGTGTTGTTGCTCGTCACGAATTCGTATAAAGAATCATAATCGTCATTATAGCCATTTATAGTGACTCTATGAGGTATTCCAAATATAATACACTCAGCTCTATTATGATCTCGGGTTATTATCGCTTTTCGGGAAATGACAGCTTGCATGCCATTTTCAGATGTCACGATGGCAAAAGCCATAATTCATGGCACGTTTATTTCAAGTTTTATCCAATTTCTACTTTTGAATCAGAACCTCCAACAATTCTATGGATAATACATAATAGTTATTAATGATGCCTTTTGGTCAACACATCAGTGAATCATTATAGAAATATTAGAAAAATTCATGATATAACTACTCCTACCCTACCATACAGGGTGTTTCATAATTGAATGCTGATCCTAAAGGGCGATAATCCTTGGGTGATTTTAAGAAAAATTCTTCATGTGAACATAGGTCCGTAACAGCTTCGTTTCTGAGATACAGGATGTTGAAATTTAACAAAAAAATCAGTTATTCCCCAATGTCTCTGAAACCGCTCTTGCTTTTTTCTTCAATTTCGGTACATGCCAAGTATGCATAAAAATACATTCAAATGTGTTCATAGCATACTAGATGTTTCTAGCCCACAAGATAATCCTACTGCTATTCAACGTCTGATTTCGCAAATGAATGCATTTTATTTTCTAACTCGAAAACCGTTCGCCGGACGGAAAAAAGACAAGAGACCATTTTTATGAGAAGATGAAGGATAATTACAAAAATAATATCTATTTGGAACAAAAACAGTGGCGTATCATTATTTTGATGAAAAATATGACAGGGTATGTTAACAGGGACGCCACTGATGGAATTTAAGAAATCCTTTATTATGGAAAAAATGTATTTCTATGCATACTTGGCATGTACCGAAATTAAAAAAGAAGCCAGAGCGGTTTCAGAGACATTGGAGAATAACTAATTTTTTTGTTAAATTTCAACATCCTGTATCTCAGAAACGAAGCTGTTGCGGACCTATGTTCACATGAAGAATTTTTCTTAAAATCATACAAGGATTATCGACCTTTAGGATCAGCATTCAATTATGAAACACCCTGTATATTAGAGGCCTTATGGGAAATGTCAAAAGGACCATTAAACACTGTCCTCATTATAATGTTTGGTAAGATTTATATTTTTGGACAACTCATGAAAAATAAAGCTACTACCCCACAACTTACAAGGAATATCAAGGCCTGACTTATTAGTTCAATTACTTGAGAAAATAAAATATCCACCCTGTATATTTGTTATATAGAACTCCTGGAGTACAGATTAGGTAACAAAATAACATAATCAATAATTTCTATGAACCATGTTAGCATAAAACCAAAAACTTATATCTATTCATGATAGCTAGAAACATGATTCAAAATCGAATGTAAAGCAAACAGGGTGTACAGCCTGAAATTATTATTCCGCATATTTAGAGAGTGGAGGAAATTGTTTTTAATAGAGTTCCATGTATACAAGCTAATACAGTTGCATATTTTTTCAAGAACTTCAGTGGCCTGTATTCACCCCTTCGACATCATCGAAAATTTCTCAATTAGGTACTTGAATGATATGATTTTTTTCGTCAATAAAATTCTATTCACAGATTCCTAAGTGAATTATCCCTGACGCCAAAAGTATCAATATTTAGAGGAAATATTGCTAAATCCATTCAATAGGTAGATCCGTGATATTTCTTATCCATTCTCGCGCCTAAGAATTGTAGAGGGTAGTCGAAAAATGTTTCATCCTAAACTTTCAGAATTGAATTATCTCGAGTTAGTCGTATCTTTCGACCATGAGATGTAGAATTGGGACACGAATATTTCCTGTATGTATGTCCCCATAGCTATTACTGAAAATTTTCGAATTATTGTACTTTTGAGCTGCTAATTTTCGTTGATACACATTCCGATGTGCCATAAAAATGACAATGAGTTCTTCGGCAACTGTTGAGGATCCCCATATCAGTCGGCGAGAAGTGAGTGCATTAGTTGGGATGAGTAAACAAACGTTCAGTTGGTCGAATCTTCAAAAAGTTTGTCTATTTTGTTTTTTTCATGTTTTTGTTTCACTATTTCACTCATTTCGTGAATATTTCGCATGAACTGTTTTTGTTGGCTTTTAATTTCGTTTCAGATGTACAACAATACAATAACTAGTCTTGTTTCTATGGCTCATCGAAATGAGTATCGGTGAAAATGAGCAACTTGAAATTTATAAAAATTCGAAATGGTTAGGAATATAGCTATAGGGACATACCTACAGAAAATGTTCGTATTCTAATTTCATATTACATGGTCGAAAAATATACGTGGTGTTTCATTCGATAAAGTCGAGGAAAATCAATTCGAAAATTTGTCCTCAATACTCGTAATTTTTTTCGGTCAGTAATTTCAGGTTGTCTAGTTCACATTCGTTTTTTAATAATGTTTCTAGCTATGATGGAACTCGAGCAATCGGACTCTGGTTACTGCCCTATATACAGGGCGAGTCAGTTTTTCAACAAACGAAAGCAGGCCTTGAAATTTCAATATTCCAGATTTGTCCACATTTTTAGAGAGAGCTAGCTCGTTGAGTACTATATTGAAATTTTTAACTTTAGTTTTACATATTTATTTTAGGTTGACCTACAAACATCTTTCTGCAGAACTTACAACAATGAAACTTAGTAATTTCGATTTTATTAGAGTGAATCGAAAAAACGATGAATAGTCGATGATGATGGAGTATATTGTAATAATGAATTATTCGATAAACAAAGTGGATATCTGTGTATGTAGACAAAAATGAAATATAAACCAATGTAGTATGTTATCATCGTTGAATATCTAGAAAAGTTGACAGAGCACCTGTGACCCAAGATATTTGTTTATTTAAAATATATAAATGGAAGCAGTGTATAGCTGAAGGGAGAATGCTCACAAAGCATATACTTAGATAGTTTCCATAGATATGTTTTCTATTAACTAAAATCTGTAATGTTTAGTTTGCTGTTTGTGTGAATTATTTGTGATGGTAGTGATGTGTGCTTTTGAAGAATCATTGTATGTAAATAGGAGGATGGCGGTTTTTATTTTATCTGAATTGTCTTCTCACTATTTTCATTCATTATTCAGATTTTCGTCGAATCTAAGCCTGCTAAAGTGAAAAAAGGTAAAGGTAAATGCTTCATAACACATTTTTCTATATACTGGGCTGTATTGGAATAAGCGTGAAAATTTCGAACCTCGAGACGTTAATACTATCGAATGACATATAGGTGAGGTGAGACCAATTTTACACCTATATAGTTCTACGCTGTAACAATCCTAACGTTCCCTCTACTTGCATTTTTTGTGCTGAGTTCAATTATTTAGATTGTTTTAAAGTAGTCTACTTGATGTTTTCCTGTTTTTGTTCAATTTTCGGGATGCAATTTCCTGTTGATTTGAAGAATTTGAGAATATTTGATATGAGAATGTTATATATCGATGTGCTGAATACATATTATTATTTCAAAAACACCTCGTATAGTTGATACATATATTTCTGCAGTTATGACCAAGTAAACGATCCACGTGTTTAATGTTCCTCATGAGGATTTTGATAAGAATTGGCCTACGATATATAAGATTTCTATATGACAGAATTATTTTAGGTCTGATCGGGTATGCTTTCATATTAGATCACCCGAAAGATGATACCTATTTCGCTTCCTGCGGATCACATCCCATCGCACTAAACACTATCCCCTAGTTCCTCTGACTCTTAGATTACCAGTTTTGTTAGTGAGTTGTTCGACATAGTTCATGAACCAACCAGAATACCTCCTATGGTGAAACACTGAGCTGTAATATGAGTTTTAGGTGTAAATAGTTGTTCGATATATTCCAAGGTGTACGGTGAAAAGGTGTTTTTTTCCAGTTGTTTGATGCAGAATGTTTAGCATTATTAGTCTAGTATATTTGGAGCTTTCCAGATACCTATGATATTATTTTCATTGCTACCTCTGAATATGATGATATCTAGAGAATTTTCGGACTTTGCATATAGATGAAGAATCTTTCTTGTAGAGTATTTGACAGCTATATATTTTCTTTGTCTGAAGGCTGCCATGTTAATTTCTTCTGTATAATCTCTAATGCCTAATGCCCTAAGCCTCTAGTGCCCTCTTACATTTCGAGTTCTGGTTAAGAGTTGTTCGATATATTCCGTAATAAATAAAGTCCAGGTCGATATAGCATCAATCCCAACCAATGATGTCGGTCTACTCTCTAACATATCCTGTTAGTGAGTGTGGCATCACTAACCAGGCGGTTTGTTGTTGAGTAGTCATTGTGAGTCATCGCCTATCAGGTGTTGAATAAAAAACGGATAATTTTGACATCATTTATTTTCAGATATTATACCAACATTTTCGAGTTCAGTAAGAATAAAGGCGATCTCGTTGTTGTTCTTATCTGATTCCATTAAATATCTCAGTCTATCCACCAAGGTATTCGGATCTGCCCATTCATCTAAAATATTGTACTCTTCATTCCTACTACGTTGCGTGCCGGCTTCAGGCTCCACGCTCGACTTTGGACGTTTAGGCTTGGTCTTATTTTTGAAGAGGGGTCTGATAATTTTATCGAATTTCTCCTTATCGGCTTGTCCTCCTAAACGGCCTACTCGATCTCTATGAATAGAGCTGATTTCTAGCATCTGTTTATACATCTGGTGATCCAGAGGCGTGTAATTTTGAGGGTTCTTGGAAAATAATAATTCCAAAAGACCTAGAGTACTTTTAAAATCGACATTATCTACGACTATGTGTTGGCCCTCAAAGCGTAGATTCTTATGTCCAAGTGTCCATCTGCCGTCAACATATTTCGGTCCATAAGCATTATCATAATCTGCACAGTGATATTTATCTAATGCTTGCTCTAATGAATGTGGTTTAGACTCCATGATGTGAACGCTATGGTGTCTGATATACAACTGAAGACTTTTGAATACATGTGAATACTCTTGAATACCTCTGAAGACATCTGAATACCTCTGAAGGCGTGATCTGAAGACCTCCGAATATCTCTGAATACTTCTATAGGTGTGATCTGAAGACTTCTGAATCCATTATCGCCTAAAGTGTGGTGGTCTAACCTTGTATATTTCAATTCCTATTCAACTCAAACACCCTGTA